TGTAGATTCAGCAGTAGTTAATCCTGTTGTTGATGGCTCAGTCATCGTTGGTAGCTCAGATGTAGATTCAGTTGTAGTTAATTGTGGCATCGATGGCTCAGCCGTTGTCAATAGCTCGGTTGTGGAAGGAACAGTTGTTTTTATTTTGGCTGTAGTCAGCTGAACCGTCGTTGTTTGCTTAGTTGTTGACTCAACGGCTCTGGTTGATTGATCAAAAGTTGTTGGTAGCTCACTAGTCGACTCAACGGTGGCTATTGGTGTTGTTGCTGGCTCACCGGTGGTTGGCAACGAACTTGTCGATTCTGAAGTGGTACCTTGTGCTGTTGATGGTTTAACTGTTGTCGGTTGCTCAGTTGTCAACTTGACACTGGTCACTTTTATTGATGGTTCAACCGTTGTAGGTGCCTCAATTGTCGACTTTGTAGTGGTGAGTGGTGTTGCTGAAGGCTTAGCAGTCAATGGCTCACTTGTCGACTTAACAGAGGTTGATGGCTCAGATGGCGTTGGTAGCTCAGCTGTCGTCAATTCCTCAGTTGCGTAATGAAAGGTGGATTTTATTTTTTCTGTTGACAGGGGGATCGTTGTTGTTTTCTTAGTTGTTGACTCAACAGCTTTCGTTGATTGACCAGCAGTCGTTGGAAGTTCACTGGTCAACACACTGGTCGGGAAAGCGCTTGTCGATTTCGCAGTGGTAATTTGTGCTGTTGATAGCTCAACCGTCGTTGGTTTCTCAGTTGTCGCTTGATCAACAGTCGTTAGAAGCTCACTGGTCGAGATAATTGTAGCTATTGGTGTTGTTGATGGCTCAATTGTGGTCGGGAAAATGCTTGTCGATTTCGCAGTGGTAATTTGTGTTGTTGATGGCTCAAATGTCGTCGGTTGCTCAGTTATTGCTTGATCAGCAGTCGCTGGAAGCTCACTGGTCGAGACAATTGTAGCTATTGGTGTTTTTGATGGCTCAATTGTGGTCGAGAACACGCTTGTCGATTTTGCAGTAGAGATTTGTCCAGTTGACAGCTCGACTATTGTCGGTTTTTCGGTTGTCAACTTATCAGTGGTTACCTTTCTGGATGGTTCAGCCGTTGTTGGTGGCTCAGTATACCCAACAGTGCTCAAAGGTGATGGTGGAGGCTTAGAAGTCGTCGACTTAACAGAGGTTGATGGCAATGTTGATGACTCAGAAGTGGCTGGTTGCTCAGTTGTAGATTTAATTGTAGTTAATTGTTGCGTCGATGGCTCAGCCGTTGTCAATAGCTCAGTTGTGGAATAAACGGTAGTTTTTATTTTTGCTGTTGACAGCGGAACTGATGATTTTTGCTTAGTTGTTGACGCAAAGGTTTTGGTTGATTGATCAGAAGTTGTCGGTGGCTCACTAGTCGACTCAACGGTGGCTATTGGTGTTGCTGCTGGCTCACCGGTGGTTGGCAACGAACTTGTCAATTCTGAAGTGGTACCTTGTGCTGTTGATGGCTCAACTGTCGTCGGTTGCTCAGTTGTCGCTTGATCAGCAGTCGTTGGAATCTCACTGGTCGACACAACTGTGGCTATTGGTGTTGTTGATGTTTCAAATGTGGTCGGGAACACGCTTGTCGATTTTGCAGTGGAAATTTGTCCTGTTAATTGCTCGACTGTTGCGGGTTTTTCGCTTGTCAACTTAACCGTGGTTACCTCTCTGGATGGTTCAGCTGTTTTTGGTTGCTCAGTTGTATACTCAATAGTGGTCAATGGGATTTCTGAAGGCTCAGCAGTTGTCGACTTAACAGAGGTGGATGGCATTGTTGATGGCTCAAAAGTGGTTGGTTGCTTAGTTGTAGATTCCACTATTGTAAATTGAGGCGTCGATGGCTCCGCCATTGTCAGTAGCTTGGTTGTGGCATATACGGTGGTTTTTATTTTTGCTGTTGACAACGGAACCGTTTGATCAGCAGTTGTTGGAAACTCACTTGTCGACACATGCGTGGCTACTGGTGTTGTTGATGGCTCAACTGTGGTTGGGATCACGCTTGTCGATTTCGCAGTTGTAATTGGCGTTGTTGATGGCTCCATAGTGGTTGGTTGCTTAGTTGTAGATTCCACAGTTGTAAACTGTGGCGTCGACGGCTCAGCTGTTGTCAATAGTTCGGTCGTTGTTTGCTTAGTTGTTGACTCAACGGCTTTCGTTGATTGATCAGCAGTTGTCGGTAGCCTACTAGTCGACACAAACGTGGCTACTGGTATTGCTGATGGCTCAACCGTGGTATCTTGTGCCGTCGATGGACCAACTGCCGTTGTTTTCTCAGTTGTCGTCTTAACAGTGGTTAAGGTTTTTAATGGTTTGGCCGTTGTTGCTGGCTTAGTTGTCGACTTAGCAGTGGTCACTGGTGTTGCTGAAGATTTAGCCGTCCTGGTCGACTTAACAGAAATTGATGGCAGTGTTGATCGCTCAAAAGTGGTTGGTTGATCTGATGTGGAATCAGTATTAAATTCTTGCTCAGCCGTCGTCAATAAATTGGTTGTGGGATGAAGAGTGGTTTTTAATTTTGCTGTTGTCAGCAGAACCGTCATTGTTTGCTCAGTTGTTGACTGAACGGTTTTCGTTGATAGATCAGAGGTCGTTGGAAGCTCACTGGTCGACACAATCGTGGCTACTGGTGTTGCTGATGGCTCAACTGTGGTTGGGAATGTGCTTGTAGATGCGCTCGCCGTGGTAATTTGTGCTGTTGATGGCTCAACTGTCGTCGGTTTTTCGGTTGTTAACTTAACAGTAGTTACTTTTTTTGATGGTTCAGCTGTTTTCGGTGACTTAGTTGTCGAGTTAACGATAGGCGAAGGTGTTGCTGAAGGCTTGGCAGTCGTTGACGGCTCAGTTGATGACATAACAGAGGATTTTAATATTGCCGATCTCGCAGTGGTAACGTGTTCTGTTGATGGCCCAACTTCGGTTGTGTGCTCAGTTGTAATCTTGACAGTAGTTAATTTTCTTGATGGTTCATTCTTTGTAGGTAGCTCAGTTGTCGACTTAATAATGGTTGATGGAATTGCTGATGGCTCAGAAGGGGTTGTTTGCTGAGTTGTGGATTCGATAGTAGTGAATTGTCGCTTTGATGGCTCAACTGTCGTCAAAAGGTTGGTTGTTGTTTTTATCTTTGCTGTTGACAGCGAGGCCGTCGTCATTTGCTTAGTTGTTGACTTAACGGCTTTCGTGGATTGATCAGTGGTCGTCGGTAGCTGACTAGTCGACACAACCGTGGCTACTGGTGTTGTTGATGGCTCAACCGTGGTCGCACTTGTGGACTTCGTGGTGGTTTCTTGTACTGTTGATGGCTCAACCTGTTTGGGTTGCTCAGGTGTCAACTTAACAGAAGTTATTTTTCTTGATAGTTCAGTCGTTGTCGGTGGAACAGTTTTTGATGGCTCAAAAGTGGTTGGTTGCTCAGTTGCGGATTTTGCAGTGATACCTTGCGCTGTTGATGGCCGAGCTGACGTTGGTAGCTCAGCTAAGGATTTAGCAGTGGTTAACAGCACTGTTGATGTCTTGGCAGTTGTGAATCTGGCAGTGGAAACCTGTGTTTGCGTATCCACTTTTGTCAGTAGCCCAATTGTGGATTCAGTGGCGGTTAACTCTGGTGTTGATGTGTGTGCCGTCGTCGAATGCTTGGTTGTGGACTTTGCAGTGGCGCTGTGTGCTGTTGATGGCTCAAAAGTCGTTTGTAGTTCAGTTGTTGATTTTGAAGTAGTACCTTGTACTGCCGATGGTTTAAATGTCGTAGGTAGCTCACTTTTCGACCAAGATGTGATGACTGGTGTTGTTGAAGGCTCAACGGTCGTTTGAAGTTCAGTTGTCGGGTTAGTAGTGGTTACTGTTTTTGATGAAGGCTTACTAGTAGTTGATCGCCCAGTTGCCAATTTAAAATAAGTAGTTTGTGTTATTGATATCTCAGACGCCGTTGGCAGACTGCCAGTTGACCTGGCAGTGGTGACTGGTTTTGTTAAAGGCACAGCCGTACTTGTTGGCTCAGCAGTGTTTACTGCTGTTGGTGAAGGCTCGGGCGTCGTTGGTAGCTCAGTAATGGACTGGTTGAAAGTTGAGAGTTTGGTGGTCAACTGCACTGTGCTTGAATGAGTTGGTAATGACTCTGGTGTTGTCAGCTGCGCTTTTGTCAACTCAGTAGTGGTTACTTGTGTTGTCCATGGCCCTACTGTGGTTGGGGATGTAGGTGTTGACTCAACAGCATTTTTCGTTGAAATCTCTTCAGTGGTCTCTGGAATTAAAGCCGTCAATACCTTGTCACTTTCCCCCAGGATGGTTGTAGTTGAAGCAGTGGAACTTGTTTGCATGGAACTTTTTTAAACTGTTGAAACATCTGTTTGAATGATTTGGGCTATACTGACTGATAAATTTAGTAACAGTTCTACACGTTTTATCGTTGCTATGCTTACCTGTTGTATGTGGAGCTTGAAGTAGCCTAAACAACTCTTCAGACGATGCACAGGTGTAACCGTCATCATTGAGAAAATATCCGGATGTACATGTACAATAGTAGGAACCCAGTGTGTTGGTGCAGTTATGTTCACATTCATGCAACGACCGACATTCATCAACATCTGTATACGAGAAAATCAAAAGATGACCGTAAGCATTGCTCAGAGGAACTTAGCACTTCAGAGGACATGTATTTGAAACCACCGATATGGCACAAAGAAGGAAAATGAACACTTAAAGAGATTTTTCTTGTTTTTTCTGTGGCCGTTTTTTTTTTGACAAGTCTGAGCACATAGAACTATACACTCATCACAAACTAGTTTAATTTTTATTTTTTATTTATTCTTATTAGGCGTATTGCTGCCATCGTAAAATAATTTGAAGTCCAAGTCTTACTGTTTCATTTAAGTGACTTAAAGTGTTTTAGGTTGGTAGCTATACGCTTCCTTCTGGAGCAGAATCGGTTGTTTCCCCGGATTGCTTACTGAATGGAGAAAATATTTACACTTTGAACGACTTTTTCACATTGCTTAAATGGCAATCAGTTACCAAGATGTCTTGTTTGCTTATGAAAAAGGAAGAATTTCGTGTGGCAGGTTAATTTGTAACACAAATAGAGTTACACGCCGCAACTGTCACTTAATTACGTAAAACATTTATTATTAAATGCATTTAAAGCCGACTTGCCTGTACAGTTCCTGGACGTCTCATTTACTTGGTAACCTATGCTGCAAGAACACTGGCATAACTCGGAATTCAGATCCTGATTGTCTTCACATGTTGCACCACATTCTGAGGGAGATATTTATTAAGAGGAATGAATATGCAATTTCAAAGTCATATTGTCTCCTAAATTCAAATGAACTACTTAAATTTACCGACCCTCAGGTCGAAAATAAAAAGTTCCCAGGAAAAATTGAAAATTAAGAGTTTGTAAAAGAGCTTGAGGAAGGAGTTTTTCTGTGTTCTTTATTCCACTTTTTCTAAATACGCTTTTTTCATTTTTTTTGTTGTTTGGTTTTCTGACGTAGTATAAGAAACCACATTTTATATCGTAAACTCTTGCAAGTCATTTACGCACCCAGTCCTTTCATTAAACTTGCCGATTAGAAAACAATCTAATTACGAACAGGAAATTAATATTTTGGTTTGCATGTGCTCCATCTGATCGATGAAATGAGTGCTCTTAGTTCCAATTTGGAATTAAGAGCCTATTGTTGATCCAAATTAAGAAGTACTCTGTAAACTATGTGAATACGACAGTTCGCCAATGTTCATTTGGGACCAGAGCCGCAAGCAAATAGAGTTGTATTCTATCGATTTTCCAAAACTCCTTCAAATTTCCGGCGCTGTGCCAGATATCTTCAATAATACATTCAATAATTTCCAGTACACGTGAAAAAGTCTTACCGTTCAGGCTGATAGAAAGTTTTCAACTTTAATGGCTGATTTATAGGACCCTTTAATACGGTCAACACATGATGTACGAAGAAAACATTGAGGAGAGGCTTTGTTTGTGTCCCATTGTATATAATCTTCGATTCACTGCTGCAGTTTTCTAGGAATTTTCCAACAATGCTTTGTTTGTCGAATTTCACCCTTACGCACGGGTTCTTCTTGCTAGTTTCTCGCGAAAGTGAAACACATGAACGCATCGTGTACGCCAAGCACCCAAACATGTATATATGGAAATTTAAAGCGCCTTTAAGCCATTTTCCCGCGACTACAAATGTGCGTTGAGGCTTTCACATGTGGCAGAATGTATAGAACATTATAATATTCGGCGCAGCGCCACCACCAACAAAAAAATCAACTGCACAGGGGGATAACTGCCCACGCGACTGGTCAAGGTGGAAAGTTTGGCAAAGCAAAATAATAGCTTGCTCAACTATCCAAGGTCAAACAACATGTATGGCAAGTTTAAACTCACAAAATTGAAATCACCCTTTTCTATTCTGTCGCTAAAACTGTGATTTTGTGGCACATAATGTGTATTTCCTTACGTTCGCAGCTGTTGCCGATCCATGAGTAACTGCAATTGCACTTGCATGTTGTTTCGTTGAGGGTCCCATTGCCATTGCAAAGTGGATCCAGAGCGCATGAGCAGCTAGCTGTCTGCATGTCACACTCACTGCTACAAAGCCTATTATCACACCAGCCGGAACCACTCTCACATTGCGTGCAGGATTCGTTGACGGTACCAGTGGCATAGGGATTGAGAGAAGCATCTGTGAAGTCCCCACTTGTGGAAAAGACAGATGAAGTAAAACATTTAGATAAAAGCAATAAGCGTTAAATGTTTGGAGAGGTAGGTATTTTAAGTGTGAAGAGTTCGACCTCAACAACACGCGAGAGTTTAAAGAACGCAACTTTCAGCCACTTAATACGCCTTAATAGAAGGTGACTCTTCGGTTTTTCTCTTTTCTCTCTGCGATCGGTTGCGATCTAATTAACACTTTTGTTGGACTAGAGATTGTTGCTTCCATGGCAGCATTAAGTACGTTCACAGCGGATGACATAAAAGATAGAACTAGAAAAGGTCACAAACTGAAAATTCGAACATCGGTAACAATCTCAAATTTAAAAAAGTCAATAATACAACTGATCCGTAGGAATAGGAAACGCAGTGTGACCTTCATCAAGAAGTAGTAAGTTCATGATTTTCAAACAAAGAATCTTCTTTTTCGTACGAAATACAATGAAAAATTGCCAACTACCCAACCAGGTTGAAAACTGCAACTACCCAAATGTGGGCTGTGTTAACCCAATTTGGGGATGAGAATTACTTTCTGTTTCATTTTTAACCTACAGAATAAGTGGATATTAACCATTGTTTGGTTAAAATAAACTACAAATTAATTTCCGTCACCCAAATTGGGTTGAGACAACCGAAAATATTGGGTAGTTGCATTTATCATCCTCAATTGGGTTAAAATGTAATCCAGGCAATTTTTCAGTGCACAAGAGGATAAGGTTGGTAACTCACATGTTCTCAAAGTTACACTTCCAGTATAACTTGTCGTAGAACATCACTCCAGTGAAGGAGTTCCACAAATATTCGCAGAAATGTTGCGCGCATCCGACTGATGTCATTGTAGACCAAGTGAGCTGAAAGTATAAAGAACAGTTTTTTAATGGACAGTTTATCAATTTTTAAAAGTTCAGAATTATCTGCAAAGGTACCAGTGTATTTCATCTGTCCTCTCAAGGGCACTTTGTCCGGGAAGCGCTTTTGGTATGCGTTGATACCTTGAAGACAACCTTATTACAAAATTGAATGTACATTTATTTCATATGACAAAATACAGCTGTAAAATACAGTTATTTACAGCACATAAAAACACGACCCCAGAAACGTTAACGTGGAGGAATGTACCCACACTATGTACGCCTAAATTCGTAATGATCGCTGATTTGTTCAACCTTCAAAACTGAAGTTATCTTATATCGAGTAGGTATTGAAGTTCGATTTACGTGTCATTTACACAAAGTGCCCTTAAGTGGCTTCATCTTCTTTAAATATTTCCGTCGATATGACAACCTGTTTTGCCTGAAGTCCATCTATCAGAAAGCATGTACAAATAAACGTTCGCAGATGTTCTTGCAGACAAATTACGACAAAATAGTGTTTACATTGCAGGTTATTTGTGACCCTACTAAGACGTGTGTGACTGGCCCGCAAAAGTGGGATATCTCAAGAAAAGTCCTAGAAATTGAAGGAGCATCGGAAAGGTGCCACCCCTGATAAGCTCAGCCGAGTATTAAAACTGATTTCAAAAGTAATGGAGTCGAATCTTTCTCTAAGTAGATTTGTTATTTTCATGAATTTCAACATGGTGCAGTGGGAATAACATGAGCTCCGAGACACTAGTAGGGCAAAGTATTCCGACTTGGAGTGCTTGGAGCAGGCTTCATCTCAATTTCAACACAGCATTCATATTCCTGATCAGAATCAAAAGTCCTGGTAGTAGTGTTACGACCTGCTTTACTGCGTTACTTCCGGGGCCTTGTGAAAAGGACTTGATTGCAGTACTGATAAAATTTTACTGAATCATTTTGGAATCGGTTATCAGAAGCTCCATTGATCAATGTACATGTATAGGCTATTTAAATGAAACAAGCAGAATTGGCTTTTTTGTTTGGAATTTTCAACATTTTCACAAAGGCTGCCTCACTTTAATTGCTATTTGAACCCGTTTAGCTTACAGAACAGTTTATTGCAAGCACAAGTTGACATTACCAGCTTGTAAATTTGACAAATAATAGGGAGGTCTGGTCTCAAGCAGGATTTCTGATGGTAATCGTAGTAGTCACCGAAGGTGTACCACTCCTCCAAGGTCTTGTTTAGGAGTCCATCTGACTCTGAGAAGCTTGTCAGCTGAATCCAGCTTGTACTTGTAGGCAGTGAAATCTCGTATATACAGGACTCTAAGGCAGTGGAGGCTTGATCAGCTTGCTCAGTGCTCCACACCTGATGGAATTGACAAACCCGGTCAGAATGTGATTTTGATGTTAAAGGTCCCATTTATGCAGCTAAATTATTGTGGGAAGCGCTGAAATGCTTCTGAAAGGTAGACAAACCGGCAAAATAATGCTAATTTATTGCTTGAAGCCACGTTAATTATCGAAAAATTGACACGCACAATACTTTCCCCAAAAATCGTCTTCGAAGGAAAATTAATTGGACTCACTAGCTACAAAAGCACTAACTGCTGGGGATTTGGAATTTAAGTGTTTAAATCAAAAGCAGAACCACAGTCGAGCAGGCACCTCATAGCTAACTAACATATATTTCACTTTCCTATCTTTGGACCAAAGATATAGCAAATTGAAAGAAATATAGGCTAAAGTACCATCAGGCCAAGAGTGTCTCCTGTAAAACCACGTAAGTTATATATACCGCCAGTCGACATTTTATGAACAGTTTTAGCTTGCATGACTTTTGGGAAACGCTGTAGCTCAGTGGAGTGTGACCAGCGAATGTATCAAATTAGTTTGCATGGTTCTTAAATTAACACGTTCTAAGCAAAGACAGAAGTTTTGTCAAGGAACCAACTTTTATCGGATTTTCTCTGAAATTACGAGAAAGTTGACAGTTAAAACAAGGGAGTAACTATTCCCTCTTAGAAGGAGGTTAATTTGCTTTCAGTCATTAAGTAGGCGTATGTATAAAAGAATATTTTGGCAATGTGTGACTTTGTTTTGAAATTCCACATCTGGCTTCGAGGGCTGAGAAACAGAGGCATGGTTGAACCACACTTTATATGGGCAATGTCGAGGCCGTATACAAACCGTATACAAAACAAAGAAGTAATCGATTCCCACAAGTGAGAAATGCCACGAAAGGGCTTAGAAATGGTTTGGTCTAGGTCAAGATGTTGTAATTTTATTTCTGTACACTTAACTCATTTTCATTTCTGTAACTCACCACTTTGTTCATGTCAACCGCAGGCGGATCCACGTTAGACCTTCCTGTATTCAACACATCTAGAAGCATGGCCTTACCCAACTCGCCAAGGGCCACAGGTCCATAAGCTGACGATTCAGTGGGCTGTGCTTCATCTAAAGTTGAGAACTTCACGTTGGACAAATCAAAAGCAAAAAGGTGGATGGAGCCGTAGAGCAGAAACAAGATCACTTTCCTGAGAAACCAGAGACACATTTTTGACTTTCCGTCGTCTTACTCGACTTGGTATTTCAATTACAGCATACATGCACATCTAAGTTATTGCAATAAGTGGATGAGCGCACCGTGTGTGCGTAGTGCCGAAGGAAATACATTGTTTAACGGTACAAGGGCTGGAATGTGAAGGCATGTACATGTGTACAGTGCCTCGATGGAATGTCTTGGAACATCAAGTTTTTTGAGCCTAAAGCATTGGGCTTACACTATGAACGTCTAACAAAAGACGTACGGTGCAATAACAATAGACGCTCATTGTTCGTGTACTGTGTTTCTTTTGTTAGACGTTCGTAGTGTTATTTCCATACTTTCTGTTTTATGCCTCTAGGCTGGGATTGACAAGACAGGAGTACAAAACATGGCTCTTCCATACTCCACCACTGAACGAGTCAGTTGAACAAGGGCATCGTGTCGATTAAAGGACCCACAAGCCTCTGCAAATAAAAAATATCTGCCGTGTGGGAGTGGGCCCAGTAAGGAATTACGTATATAAGCATATGAGGTCCACTTAAAAAAACAACCAACAAGTAGAGGTTATCTCTCTACCAACAGAACAAATGACTTTTTCACACCCTTTTTTCACGAAAATAGCCAACATCATCATCACATCATGCCCATTTCCGACTGTATAACACTTCACTTTCTAGCTACGTGCAAGGTTTCAACCAAATTTGGCATTTATTTCAAGAGATCCAGTGCTATGAAGAGTGTTCCTTTAAAGAGCACCTCTAAGGAAAACATAGTTTCTCTGATTTTTTCTGTTTAAAAAACATGGAAGTATGAAAATCGAAAGCAGTGTCATTTGTCTTCAGAGCTGAACTATAGCAAGCTTAAAAGGGTTTTTCTGTTTATGCCAACATGCGCATTCTGAATGTAGATTGCATCATTCAGAGAAAACGACAGGGGCCTTGCCCTGTGTTCGTAGTGGATAAACCCTTCTGCATGTCAAACAATGGCAGGGGTGCAAACCATTAACAATTTCAAAAGTTTGACCTTTGCTTAAATTGCTTGAATGATTTGATTGATAGCTTGAATGGACAACTGAAATCAATGGACAAAGTACTAATATTATACATTTACGACTCAACAGTGTACATAGTACAATACAACATGAATAATCTGCCGGATAAGCTTATTTGATGATAGTTTGGAATGTATTGGGTTTTCATATTGAATCTCAAATGTTTGTAACATGTCACTTTCATGCAAGTAAGCTGTGCTTATAGTATTGTGATGCTTAAATGAATATTGACTTGAGTTGACTCAAATAATTTTAAAGAAATTACTGATTAATGGGAAGGATAACTGAGATACTCAATCGCGTCGAGTCATTTGCTCCTCATGATTGACTTAAGTCGAATTGAGTAATTTTGCAATTGGAACTCTAGTCACGTCACCAAAATTGAAAATCAATAAAAAAGGGACTATTTGCAGGTTTTTTTTTATTACAAACCCCAGTATTTGTTCACTTTATGCCACTGAATATCTGGAAATGTCTCATTTAGATTCCTTTTATCTGAATATATTTGGAGATCGTTTTCAAGTTTGGTTGATTAATATGAAGTGTAACCATTCGCAGTTATTGGGGTACAGGTGCATACTTTGTCCTTTTATTAATAAGTTTTGATTTGGAGTACACCTGTATATGTTATCGAAATCATTTGAATTAGAATTACATATTTCATAAGATGTGTCTGTAGTTACTGACGATTGATTGACTTGATCTTTTTTCTGCGGTTTAATTATGAATACAGCATAGTTGCCACTTTTTGGTGAATTAATAAGGGAGTAAATATGCGCTTTTCCGGTCTTAAACATTACTTTTTTATTCCCATTCATTTATACCGTTTTAGTCAGAGAATCAAAAGAAGTCATCATACGATAAATTTCCAACGGTTTGATTAAAGAATTTTGTTTTTCCCTGAACACTCCCGTCCGTTTTATGGTATCTTTCTTGTGCAAGAAGTCTTGAAGAATCTCCTTATATGGACTTGGCGCGAGCGTGGCGAGCCGCGTGAGCACAAACTATTGACCAATAAGAATTGATTAAACTGTCTGGTATCCAGGTGCCAGTGCGTTTTTACACAGCGTACTCTGTTCGTCTTCAGGAGACTGACAGAGACTGACTGAAGACGGACAGAGTACACTGTTCGAAACGTCGAGTTATTCCCCGGTTCTTCTCAGAACCACACACACTCAAGAAAGAGATAGATACATGGTGCTACCGCAATCATTTTACTCATCTAGTTTCTTTCACCATGAAAACCTTCAAGTCCTATCTACAGCATCAACGAAAACAATTACAAGCAGTTGAAGTCAGGTGTCACTGACACATGCCCGGTAATATGCGCGCGCATACGCTCGTATTTTTGTTGAGGAACAGCGAGTGCGATTTTCATAATTATAGCAGGGCAGGGCAACCATTGCTAGTGTGTACCTGGAATTGAAAAGAGGTTGACGAAGTTTTTCAGAACTGTCTTATTCTATTTTCAGTCCGCAAACCTCGCAGCATGGCTACGATCAAAGCTGGAAGTTGTAGATTATTTTCGGATAAGTGTATTTGCTGGCTTCCCTTGCTGTAACAGCTTAGGGTAGCGGATACATGCGTTCGGTTGGTGATTTAGTCGTCTACCCACCGTGGATTGCACAAAGTGAGGTTCGATGCAGCTTCTGACAGGAATACCTCACGGAGCAGAAATGGACCTGAAGTGTGTCAAATAATACTCAGTAGAACAACTGAATACTTAGCAGAGCCATTTGTGTCAAAATATGTACTTGAATTTTCATATCTATTCTAAAACCCAAAGAAACAAAACAACACACGAAACATGATTCACTGGTAAGGAATTCTTACTTTTTTTTTATAACCCACTTTCTTTAAAGTAGCACTCAATGCTTGAAGATATGTTTTGTGCAAAACAGGCCAACTAGATGGATTTTTAAACTTGATGTCTCGTTCAACTGATTTCCACATCTTTGAAGTCAAAGCTAATTTTGTTTGATGTGTGCTTTTACAATCAAGGAAGTATTGTTGTGGTAGCTTCACATCAACGACAACGAATACTTGATTGTTCAATGGCAAACGACCGGTCCTTAAATATTTTACCACAGGACAGAAAATTTAAAAAATAGTGTAAGTAGAAATAGTAGAAATACATTTTTAAATCACAAAAAAGAGCAATAAGCCTGAGGTATTTTATGCATGCATGTTCAGACCTGCGAGTCTTGTGTGTAACGTATACATACATAGGGTCTGTTACAAGATAATAATCTTTATTATCTTAATATGGAAAACCAGCTTGTAGGATTATGAGATGGCATGCAGTATGCCACAAACGATTCACAGATTTAAAACCTGAGAGAATTTTATTTTTTAGTAAGAATCAATTTTAAACTAGAGAGCGGTCGGGTTTCATTTGGCGATGCTTCCTTTATTAGGTACATGAAATTGCATAGTGTAATGTTCTATTTTTTCAATCCAGATAAAATGCATTATTCTCAGCAAACACAGGGTTTGTTGAAAACCCCTTAGTTAATTAGCTGTTTGTTGGCATGGTGTTGTAAACATGTAGCTTTGAGTGCAGGTGCGAGGTAGCTTGAGTCTCTGCTGGCTGGCAGAGGGCTAAGGAAAGTTAAAGCTATAGCGTTACTATTTACAACCAACATGCAAGAAAAAGGTTATAGACCCCTACATTGTTATAATTCAGCGACGCGCGCTGAATAAGACTTTTGCGAATTAATTTTGAATAAAATCCAGTACGCTGAGTTCTTTTTAATTCACGTAAACATAACAATTGGAATTCTCCGCACGACAGACATTGTTGCTATACCTTGTGATTCGAGGCAAGCCAATTTGCTTAGTTACAAAAGAGATGCGTTGCTGTTCTCAATGGATAAGAAGGGCACAAGGGAACCAGTCCATTCCAGAGATGGTGGACACTGTGCAAAAGCTTGCCCCGAATCACGGGCTATCGCAACGGTGTCTTTAGTCTAGGGAATTACAATTGGTACGTTTGTGTGCAATCAAATAACTGGGTGTACCAGGTTTTATTCAAATCTAACTCGCAAATGGCCTATTGCTGGCGCGTAAAGTTCACTTCGGCACAGCCGTCCGAAGCTGCTGCTTGTTAAAATAAACCCACCGCCTCCCCTTCACCACCAGACCCTTGCAGAAAACAAAAAAAAATTGTATCAGGAATTGGCAGAGAGCGATGGGCAGTGCCTCAATTGAAACTGAAATGATAAACAACTTTAATTTGGAAATATATATATATTTGGAAAAATATTACAAATTCTTAAATCTTTGCACGTTATTTTTCCTATCCAGGGGGTTCCGGAAGCGCGCCATCAGGGGACAACTTTCAGGCTCACACATATTAATTATGCTGATGCGTGGCACCCCAAATAACGTTTTTCTTAGCTAAATTCTTTCAACCAACCCGGAAAAAACAACTAACAGCCGCAAAACAAGTTTTTATTAACATCAGAAACCTACAAGCCTAAAGTGGAGTTAAGCTATGAAGATTTTACAGGGTTTTCTGAAGACAATAGAGAGTCTAGGAGAATTATTAGGCTAAGATCCAGAGGGGATCTTGCAATGAACCCATAGGGGTCTTACTGTGCGTGTTCGGTTCAGGTCTAAACAAAAAGATAAAATGGCTTCAACAACGGCGAAAAATAAAGTAGCTACCCCTGCGGAAAAATGGCGACCCCCAGCAATAATCGGGCTACTTACAATTTTGATCAATTTATAAATTTCCTGATTCAGTGGGCTCAGAATTTTTATCCCTGTCAGGGTGGTGGAATGAACAAGCATTACTCTACCCTCTCAAAGTATTTCAAAATAAATTACCGGTACACTATGACCATCATTTAGCAAACGTTTCAAATTGCAAAGGTTTTTATGTTAAATCTCTGTTTTCGCATTATATTACGGATCTCCATGTAAATACCAAAACATATAAAATATATCTATATCTATTTTTGAACCTTTTTGTTCACATTTCTCATATTCCACAGATTAATGGCAGTTTTAAGTTTGAAACTATTCGGTAATATCATTTTTTCTCATTGAACTTTTATAGAAAATTTATTTTGTTTCTAAATATTTGTTAAACTGGATGTTAATCTTAGGTAACATAAATTAAAATTCAAGAAAACTT